TCTTTTACGCAGTCATTATTTATTTTCTCAACATCTTCTTCCAGAACCTAACAGAAGCAGTATTTGAAATCAGGTTACGTAAAAGCAGAGTTCATAAAATGCGTGAAAGGCATCCAACACATGCCATATTTGGAGTAATGGTACACGTGACTGTATTCATTGCGCTGAAATGTTTAAACCTTCCTCACCTCGATTTCAGTGGACAGCTCGCATATTTCCTTGTCTAGTGACCTGAATGGAACTGAAATCAAATTATACATAGATAGTAACGTTGAAATGGAAAATGAACTAACGTCAGCGATCCTTCAATTACGAGACATGTTTTTACATTCAAGTTTGATTTGTCACTTATTGTTTGTCATCTTGTTTGGTTGTATTATTTGCCTAAGTTGAATTTTTGTTTCCTAAATAAATATGATCGTTGTGGAATGACTTCAATACTACAAATTTACATGTACGGACCTTGCGATGCCTGTCCCACGTGTTTAAGATCATCCTGTAATGCCGCAATGTTTGGACATTTGGTGATGATAACCCTAGTAAGATAGTCTAACACTGAAGTGGCTTTGTTCACCGATGATTTATAATCCATCAGCTGGGCAAAGAGAAAAGAAACAAAGTGTTATTGAAGGAACTTAACCCCGAGGACTCACATATACAAAGAACGGGGGTGCTCGTCGTACTTTTAGGGTTAAAAACACGGTTTTGGTAATTCTAGGGTGTTCAGCCTCAAAAAGTCCACAGCGGGAGCTTTTGTGAAACCTTTCAGGGTACTGAGCCGAAAAAAATACGACAGAGATAATGTGTTATTTTAGAATTGGTGCCTCTTAGCGGTGAAAAAAACATTTCAAGCCACGCCCACAAAGCAAGAACTTAATTGGTACCTCTTAGGTGCTCTTTTCAAAATTTCCCAAGGACACCAATCCTTTTTGTATGGGTTCCTCGCCCCCGGAAGTTTAACATCGGAAGAGCATATTTGGATCTGGCTGCCTTGAAGAGCGGCTAAGTCACAACAACAATTTAACAACGGTTTCTCAGTAAACAAGGGAAGACTGCAACAGAAGCGCTTCGACAAACGTAGTTGGAACAAACTTTGTTTAACATGCGTTTTGGTTCCATGTTTTTCACCGCGGTTTGTGTTTTGTTTCTTCTAAAGCTACGATGGCCAAGGAAAAAGAGTAGTTGGAACATTTGCAAAATAAACAACACAAATACAGATACCTTACATGGGGGTACTGGAAAGGGAAGAAGAAGGGAGAGGGAAGAAAGAACGTGTGATAACCATGCCAACGCTCCGGCTCAAACGAGATTTGTAGATGCTGCGCCCTTTCTAGTATGCAACCTCTCATCGTTTCCTGGCACTCGATCGTTTTTGCTCCAGCTAGGGCGGAGAGAGGTAATTTAAGAGTGACAGGTCTTTCGCAAGAACACAACACCCTATTCTGTTCTGTCTCGCCGATTTCTAAAACACTGAGTCACAATCAGCGTATAGCGCCCGTCCGCCCTTAATTAGTGTGTTGCATTCTGGAACAAGTGGTCCATTAAGTGTGCATGTGTGTCGGTCAGATATATAAGAAATGTAAGTACAAGAGCGAATAAAGTTTGTTGTTGTTGTTATTATTGTTGTTGTTGTTGTTGTTGTCCTGTTTCGATCACTGTGTTGTATTCTCGGCCAAGAAACTTTGCTTTCAACGGACAGTGACATTCGACCCAGAAGGATTTAATTGCCCGGGCAACGTGATAAGAGGAGCAAGACATTATATCTAATATATACCACATCTCTTACACTTACCTTTGTAACAAACGTTATCTTAAAAGCACAAGTGTCGCTTCCATTCATTATGTTTCCCATTGTGAGGACAAGCTATGGGCAGACCAAAATA